TATGAAAAACGTCTGATTTTTGTTTTAATGGAAAAAACCACATGTATTTAGTGAAATGGTCAACACATAATAGAAAGTAATGATGACAATGAGCATAAACAATAGGCGCAGGAGCCACACATTACAAAACATAAGATCCAAAATATGAGTGCTTTTAATATTAGAAGATGACAAAGAAAGCTTGGTGGATTCTTTGAAGATTAAAAGTTTTTTTCGATGAATGAAAGCTAGAAGAACCGATGTGTAAAATAGGGATACCTGTACCACTGCCTACACGGAGGTTATCCTCGCCATAATAGGCTTCCGAGTGATCAAAACTGGAGAGATATGAGGCAACATGGTGATTTGAGTTTGTATCCGTGATCCAGGTGTTTGAAACTTGTGAGTTGTAGTTAGTAAAATCTGCAGACGGTTGTCGAAAGGTGTTCGGGTAGTGAGACGGTAGATGACCGATGCCACACCTGTTACATGTGCTATACACAATGTTTTGATTAGATGCCCAACTGAATTGGTTGTGATTACCTTTATTTCGGTTGTTGTAGTTTCCACATCCTCCATTCTTGGATTGATTGTTTTGTGGTCGATCCCGACTATTATTTGACCGATTTCTGAAGTTGGCTTGCGGTTGTGACGAGCCAAACGGATGGAGTTGAAAACCTAGTTGGGCTGCCAATTGTTGAACAGCTTGTACGACTTCGGTAGAAGTCACCGAAGAAAAGGATTCGTTAGTTGGCGTCGGTTTTTCTGATGCTCGCTGTGGTAGTGAAGGCTTGAGCTAGCCTGAAATCTATGGATGACTTTGAGATCCTATAATCGTGATCTAGTAGTAGGGCATGAAGATCAACAAAAGCAAACGATGCTTGACGGGTGAGAATTTTTGACTTGAACCCGTTGTATTGTTCACAAGAGACCGGATAAAAGAAGCATGATAACGTTTTTTTTTCCTTCATGGGCTCACCAATATTTGCTAGGGCATCCACGTATTCCTGGGACCTAGTAAGATCGGCAGACGATGATTCATCCGGTTTCATCTGAAGTTTTAGAAGTTGGGTCATCAAGGTATACTCTTTGGAGGATGTATGAGGGGCGTAAGCCCGTTCCAATGCTAACCAGAGATCACGACATGTTTTTGCCTTGGACGTGTCAAAAGGTTACTTTCATAGATTGTGGAGAGAATAACCATTCTTACGTGAGCGTCATTGAGAACCCATGTTGTGTAGTCCGGATTTACTCCTATCGTGGTTGTAGGTTATGCATCCTTATTTTTTGATGGTGTGTTAATCAGAATTGTTGACGGAGGACACACGGTTGTACCATCGACATACCTGAAAAAATTCTTTGTAACAAGGAATGGCTGGAGCATTGTCTTCCGGTATCCATAGTTGGTTGAGGAAATATTGAATCCAAACTTGTATGAATTATGGATGGTATTTTATGGTTGTGTAAAGGATGCAATGGTTGCTATCTCTTGTGAATATATCGTCAACAATTAGGAAGATGGATGAGGGATGACGACAATTAGGGTTAGGCCAAAATTGGCTCTGATACCATAACAAACGTATGATTGTGTTTCTGTATATATGTTTCAATGATAATAATACAAGGATATATATACTAGACTAAGTTACACTTTGGTACCCTCTAAAATATATAAAGTACTAGTCTAATAATATGTGTCTGGGGCCAATAGGGATAGTTTAGTCACTACGGCTAATCATTTTTATTTTATTTATTTATTTATTATTTATTTTTGTTTTCTAGTGTTTCCATGAAATGCACCTTGACGGTTTTTAACACAAGAGCACCTTTACAAGTTTCTTAGCGGACGCATTGCAATCTTCTCAAAATTAATCTCATCTTCAAACTATATATTATATATGTTAATTAAAGCAATATATTATCTGTAGCTGAAGCCTGGAAGGATGCCTATGTGAAAGGATACAATTATGTTAGAGTCTCCTACGAGTAGCTCAACCGCAAAATTTGTTAATTAAAGCAATATATTCTCAAAAGTGTGGGTGTTCCAACCGAGCGTGAAACTCACCTAGCTTTCATTAGGGACACAAAATTTGGCGGGCGAGCACCTGTTGTTGTGTGGTGTAACATTATCATACACATAATGTAAAAATGTGTACATGTACACATGTAACAACTGTGTTGATACACAAGTGACATTGTATCTATGGGGATGTGTTTTGATGCTGTTGAATGGTATCAGCTAGACAATGGTAATTTGGTCAATATATATTAAAACAATATTTATTCTCAAGATTTATGTTATTACTTCTAAACCGATTAGTTTGAACCATTGTATTAGTTAGAATCGATTTCATTTGTCGTTATTTCATCAGTGATAGTGCTCACCCAATCTATTTCATTTGTCGCAATTCACGTCATTTTTTCACATCATTATTATCATTTGTTGAGCGTTAAACGTCATTTATAACTAAACAATATTCTCTTTTTATTCGGTTTCAAATTCGCCAAAAGTTTAGGGTTGAAAATCTCGTCGTTTTTCTGTGGGAAATTCCATACAAAAAATTTCACAATGATTTAAACCGCTTTTCTATTAGTGGACCCAAAATAGTCAGACGAGTATTATTTTACCGAAGATGAAGGAGCTAAGGGTGGAGGCTAACCACCAGACAAACTAGAATGAGTTAATGGTCACAAATTCGTCCTGATTAGACAATTTTTTTAAATTATGAAGTATTAAAAAGGATAATATCTTGGATCCACATTTGGTTCTTTTCTTCGTGGATAGTGCTTTACACCCGGTGCTGCTGGTAATATAGGTAACTTCTGGTAATATATGTAACTTCTGTAATGTTTCATTTTATGATGTTAAAATATTTTTAATGTAATCTTTCAAATGTATTCAAAGTGTTTGATATGCCAAGTCTATAGAAAGTAATGAAATGTGGACATATTTTAAACAGTGCTAAAATATATCCTAATTAATAAATCTATTAAGTTGTTCGGTAGGTCTTAAAATGTGACATTGGATGAAAGTTATAAGTTAAAATGTTCCCTTGGTTGATTTAGCAAAGTACATTGTTATTTTACTTAAAGATGGGACAAAAGTATAAATGATAGAATATTAGTATTTGACATATTACATATATTAGAAAAAGTGATGATTTTACTTATATGTCATAATATGTATTTAGATAATTATGGTACAAGATTAAATGTGAAAGTATGAATACTTGATAAAAATCTAAAGTGTGTTGACAATGGTACCGATTTCGTCTTCTATTCTATTTATAAAAAAGCCAAAATCAACTACAAGTTAAATAAAAAAGATAATTATTACCCATAAATCTAGTAAAAGTATCGACGTGAATCCACATAAGATAGCAAGCTTAGGTCTCCCACCATCTATCGGCTTCTACCGTTATCTATTGTGGTATACTTTTGTCTATATGGTCTTTTATTGTTTGTTGCCATCTATCACGATATAATATCAAGTATTACCACTTACATCTTCATATCATCTTATACATAAAGCTATAACATACCGACCACTTAATTTTTCGTTTTACCAATATGGTTAAATAAACCTTATAAATCGTAATCTCATAATCACCATCACCATCACCATCAGTCACACCTCCTTTATCATCTTTTCCATATGATGGCCATCATACAACATACACAACCTAACCCTCCTACAACCCATCACTAAATTCTCCCCTCTTTGTTATTTGTGCACACCCTATTGCTGCCACATGATACATCTGCCATTGGAATTATCCCCAATCGTCATCAGTTTGGATCTCCTCTCCATCTTCGTACACTTCGATAATACTTCAACCCTTGTTTCATTAAAACTTAGTCGAATGTGATAGGTTGTGTTGAATTCTATCTACAATCAATCATGTTGGGAAAACGTATCCAAATAAGATAGTAAAACTACCAATAATTTTGATTAATGAGATGTAATATCCTGATATACCTAAAACATTTGGTCCCTGAAGGAGGATTAATCTAACACCAAAGTAGAACAAATATTATACATAAATACTAAGATAACAATATATAGCAAGGGCACGAAAACAATAAAAGCTAGTTCCTATATCTATAAATAATAAAGTATATTGCTTTGATGAATAAAACATGTAAGGATATTATCTATATTGGTAAAAAGAGTATATTCTATTGCTATTATGGTTAAAAATAAAGTATGGTGATATTATGTATTAAAATTAATCTATTGCTATTATGGAAAAAAGTATAGTACATTGCCATTATGGATATAAAAATTGTATGTTGGGTAGTTTGTGTAAAATGTGAAGGTTTGATGGGTTGCCGAGTAAAGATAGCATCTGATTTTGGGTCAATGCGCGGATCCTTGCTCCGGGCTTGCCCCTGATATTTAAGGATGATGGACTGGTGCCTGACTTAGTCAACACATAGTGCATGCTCTCGTTGTTCTTCCTCTCTAGAGCTAGGGTTTTCGATTAGGGTTTCATTTTTTTGTGATTGTATTCGGTTGAAATCATTAGAATCTTAGTCTTAGTTCCGGTTATGAGAGTTGAGAGTGGTTGTAGTGAGGTTGGTTATGTAAGTAATTGAAAAACAACTGGTTCAGTGAAATAAATGAACTGTTGATGTTGTCGATTGTGTGTTTTTGAGAGTTTTTACATGATATCTGGGTCCGGTTCTCGTTTATAAGCACTATCATATCAAACCAACACAACATATAAAGTACACAATGAATAATAAATACCAACTTGAAAAGGTAATTGCACACAAACAATTTTGAATGGAAGCTTCAAATTAAAGAAGCCTATGAATGAAATCAAACGATTACCCCAACACGAATTAATGTAAAACCTTTTTGTCATTGAAATCGTTGTAACTTTAGAACTTGGCTTGTAGCTGATCCACCACACTCTTATCCACTTGGAATGCCCTGGCTAAGATATCCCCTGGAATAGAAAGATTTGCACCGAAAACAGCATTTGCAATTGTTATAGCACCTGGGTTTTGACTGCTTAATGCAGCAATAACAAAACAGCATTTCCATTACCCACATTCCGTTGGAAATGAACAAGTCCCACAGGGAACACGAAAACATCACCCTTTTGCAACACCTTGGTGATAAAGCGGTTATCAGGATTAGAAGTGACAAATCCAACTTGTAGGGTCCCTTCAAGAACTGTAAGAATCTCTGTGGCTCTTGGGTGGGTGTGAGGAGGATTAAGTCCCCATGGTGCATAGTCAATTCGAACCATTGAGATGCCTAATGTGTTTAGCCCCGGTAATTGAGTTGCAAAGACTGGGGTCACCTTTGATCCCAATTGGTTTGATGTGTTACCCCTGAGGTGTAGCCCACTGAAGAAGAAATCCTCCGCTTGAACTTGCATTGGGTTCTTGCATGTTACACCATTTACTTTGACTGCACGTTAAACAACATTTTGTTTGTTAAAGTAAAAGGTAAATGTAATTAAAAGAGCACATCAGATGTGTAACAACGACTCAATGAGTAGACTGTAGACAATACCTGAGCTGTTGGGGTCGGCTACACAAAAATCTTGGAGGGGGCTTGGCTCGTAGGCTAAGGCAATGTAGTTAAAAGTAAGTGCTACAACATTCAATAGAATGAGTTTGTTCCACATTTCTTTTAATATTAAGAATAACAGCAATAGAAAGATATAATAGAATGAGAGCTATAGGAAATAGAAACAGTGGAGATGGATTTTGTTGGTGAAAGAATCTGCTTTGTGGTTCCATATATATAAGGCTTATTTGCATGGTTCATGATTTTGTTCTTTACTGTGTCTTTCCGCATCCAATGAAAAATAATCTGTGAATTAAAATTGCCGTCTAACACGTAAAAACACCATTAGGCCCCACTACAGTATGAGTAGATGGCTGATCATTTTTGGATTATAAGGAATTGGTCAGCCGGCTTTTTATCTGCTTTAATTCCTTTATGTTGCCAAGAATTGGTCGGTATCAGTTCTGAAATGTTCAAAAGCTAAATTGCGTACCATGTTCCTTTAAGTGCTAATTTTACAAATTAAATAACACTCGACATGAGAGTGATTATCATATGTGTCTAGGGGCCCATAGGATAGTTTAGTTGTATATATGTTTCAATGATAATAACACAAGGATATATATACTAGACTAAGTTACACTTTGGTACCCTCTACAATATATAAAGTACTAGTCTAATATCTCCCCGCAAGCTAAGGCCGGGATGAGACCTTTAGCTTGTTCCGTAAATGTAAAAATCTTTGAGACGACAATGGTTTAGTGAAGATGTCTGCAATATGGTCATCTTTGGAAATTAATTTAACAGACAGGTTTCCTTGAGCGACTTTTTCCCGGATAAAATGTAAATCGACTTAACATCTTTTGTTCTCGCGTGAAACACTGGATTCGCTGACAGGTAGGTCACGCATAGATTAGTACACCATGATGTCGGGGTTCTTTTCGTAGGGACCCGAAGTTCATGTAATAAGGACGGTAAGTTCAACGACTGTATCAACTATGGCTTTGTATTCTGATTTGGTTGATGAACGTGAGACGGTCTTTTTCTTTCAAGCGGACTAGGAGATGAGATTCGGTCCGATATATATAGCATATCCCCATGTGGATCGACGATCATCTGGACAGCCAACCCAGTCCGCATCAGAAAAGGCATTGAGGTTAGTAAAAGTGGAATCGGCGTAGGCATGGAGAGAAGTTCCGGAATTTTGATGGATGCGAAGACAGTATGCAGAGGTTCCCTTTAAGTATCGGAGGATACGTTTGACGGTAGACCAGTGGTTTTCTGTAGGAGAGTGCATGAACTGACACACTTTATTGACAACATAGGCGACGTCGGGCCGAGAGAGGGTAACATACTGTAAGGCGCCCACAATTTGGCGATACTGGACCGGATCAGGAAGCGGAGAGCTATCACCAAGGGCCAAATTGGCTTCGTGGTAATCGCTGTCGGCATTGGATTTGCATTTGACAGTTTGGCGCGCTCTAACAGGTCCTGGTCAAATTTCGGTACTTAGTCATTCTACTGACAAAGAGAGGGCACCAAATGCCTAAACAAGACAAGAACCAACTATATGCTTAACAAAAACTTTCTGGTCCTCCCTCTAGCATACGGGGATCGGCCCTACGCACCGGGGACGAAGCGTAGAGGTCACTTTAGCTTGTTGTACCGGAGTGGTAGATGTATTTTTGTTGTGAGAGACGAACATTGTTGCATAATTTCAATTACCAAGAAATAGGTGTAACATCCCAAGATTTTCTCATTTATAGTCCCTAGGGATAGAAGGGTGAAGCCATGAAAGTCTAAGGGCTAAATTGCAATTACTGGGATCAGGAGGAGTACGTTGCGCGTACATAAGGGTACGCTGAGCGTACTAGGCGTGCCCTAGTACGCTGGGCGAACACTTGTGTACGCTGGGCGTACTCATGGCAGAAGGAAACCCTAATATTTAGGGTTTGGGGACTATATAAGCAACATTATTAGCACAAGACCCTCCCTTACCCCAGCCTCCACTGCTTAGAGTCGTTTTCCCCAAACCCTAGCCATTTCCTTGAGTTTTTGAGCTTTTTGAGTCTTTCTTGAGTGTTTTAAGAAGAAGGTGTTGCATCAAGGAGTTGGAGAAGAAGATCAAGCATGTATATCAGAAGTTGGTTTGTGCCGTAGAAGCTCTAGAAGGTAAAAGCTTGGAACTTTATACTTGTATGAGTTAGATCTAGTCATTTTAGCTTTATGGAAGCATTCTTGTCCAAAAAGTCCCAAAATGGTGCATGTTATGATTTGGACGAAATGAGCTGTCCTTTCAGACCTTAGAGGAGGTCCTAAGTGATAAAAATGGTGTCCCAATAGCTAGAATTATCTCATGCATGAAGTAGGAAGGTCTAAATGGATTAATACCATGTGTTAAGAACTTTATGGACGTCCAAAGTGATAAAGTTCGAGACTTTATAGTCCTGTGGCACATTTGGTCGATGGATCTGGAGTTTGGGCTTAAGTGCTTAAGCCATTAAGCACTTATTAGGGTTTTGGTGAAACCCCGCGTACGCCCAACGTAAATCCAATACGCCCAGCGTACTGGGTCAACCACCCCGATGGTGGTCAGCATCAGGACGAGTACGCCCCATGTACGTCCTCTGTTGGGCCTTTGACAATTGGGATTCGGGTTTGGGCTGTTTATGGACTTGTTGGTTTTGGGCCTTTACTGGACTTTATGAATATTATGTTTTAGGCCAAGTGTTTATAATGGATCTTGGAATTAGGCCCAATTAGGGAGTTGGCCCCAATTTGGTAAATTGGGCCAATAATGGGCTTTGCATAAGGGCTTTCAAGTTTATGGGATTGGCATTGGGCCTTGGCCCAATAAAGAGAATGGGCATGATGGATTGTGTGGACCCCCCTTAGTAAAGATTGTTATGTTGTGTAATGACTTGGTATTTATTATGTGATAGTTCGGGATTCCGGTGAGATAGCGGTTCGGGAGTTCGATTCTTCAGTTCAGATCAACATTGCGAGGTGAGTTATCCTCACTATATCAACAGGGTCTAAGGCACCAAGGCCGACCCTTTATCGGATTTGTATCCGGGTATTTTCTTGATATGTTTATTTGATATGCTAGATCTTCATCCTGGTAGTTAGGATGGTATTATGCTATGTTAGCGACCGGTTAGGTCGGTATCTTGGTTATAGGACGGTTGTTGTGTTAGTGATCTGTTAGATCGGTTTGATTATCTGTTATATACATGCTAGCGTATGATATTTATGTGCCCATGATTGTTTGATTGGTATGGGGGTTGGGTTGAGGCGGGTCCTGCTTCGTGTTGTAGGCCAACATAGCCATAGCATACCGGATATACTATAGGCCCAGGAGGGCACCGAGTCAGGCCGAAGGCCCGACGAGCAGTTCGGATAGGCTGAAGGCCCCGAGAGGGCGGTCCAGACGTGCCGAGGCTCGAAGAGTGGGCGAGACAGACTGAAGGCCCGATGTGGGCGGACCAGTCACACTGTAGACTCGAGAAGCATGGATGTTCTGTTTGCTTATATGTTATATGATATGGTTATATCGGTATGATGTTGGTATTTTGGGGGTAACTCACTAAGCCTTCGAGCTTACATTTTCAGTTATTTGTTTCAGGTTTAGCGGATGACCGTAGGAAGGCGAAGGCGTGACCGTACACTTCCTCGATTGATGATTATGATTTCTGGGAACTCTGATGTTTAAACTATTTTGCAAACAAATTGTAATAACGGAATGCTTTAAAATGATTTAAAAAGTTTTAAATTGGCTCGAATTTTATGGATGTTACCAGTTGGTATCAGAGCCTTGGTTTGAGTGAATTGGAGGAACACTCGTGTGAATCCAGTCTCAAACTAAGGAAAAATATTTTTGAAATGATTTTTAAATGGTTTTCAAAATAAATAAATGAGGATGTGAAGTGTACGATCAGCCGGAGCCAGTAAGTAGGCCCCAAAATACCATGCAGTTATTGATTATGTGATATGTTAGAACAACATGCTAGTGATAAGATAGGTATCCTCAGGAACCGTATGATAGAATTGCCTGATCTTTGATGCCTTATCCTATGTAGAGTACCTCATTGATTGTTGTATGACTCTTTCGTGTGTGAATTAACTATTGGGTGAATACTCCAAGTCACATGCTACATGGGTTAAATGGTCTTAGGGTAAGGGATTTGGTCCTGCTGCGCAACTCTTGTCTGAGTCCAACCATTGTGGGATTAAATCTTTTAGTCTAAGATTGTTTAAGCCATGCGGTATGTTATTGTATTCATGCAACAGTTAACTGGCACCAATGGAGGGTCGTGTGGGAGTTGGTGGATGGGTGGGTTGTGCGAAGTTGGTAGGCCGATTATGAGATATTTAGCATTCCTCTAGGAGTGAGGATGGAGCGCTCGCTATGTTTATGTATATTGTTAGAGTGTTGTGGTGATACTTGAGACAAATATGGGTAGGTGTGGAAGGTAGTATGGGCCCGTACTACTAAAAGCACAGGACCCATACGCGTAGCAAGGAAGTCACAACCCCTAGGGTTTAGTTGGGATTATCCGAGATGTCTTGAGACCGGATCCAGGTTAGAATTGGGAGCTGGCTGCCAAGATAGGCCAGCATTTTCAGAGGATCGTGTCAGTGAGATCATCCGGGAGGAGGTGATCAAGATTGTCCGGGGGCAGTTGTCGGAGATGTTCGGGTCTATTAAGACCTCCATGGTTGAGTATTTCTGCGAGCGCTATGCAGCCGAAACAGCTGTAACAACGGCATGGGGATGAGCTGGTCGAGCTTTCTAGTATCGGGACTTGTTTCTGGGAAATATTATAATGAGCAGGGGACTGCAGTTACTTGAGATCAGGGAGATATTCTATACTCGTTGCATTCCGCGGGTTGAGAGGAAGAGGATGGCAAATGAGTTTCTAGATTTGAGGCTCAGGGGTTTGGTCGAGCCCGAAATGTGAGTCACGGGGACTCCAGAAGGGAGTGTTGAGTATGTTCAGCTGGGGTTTTGCAGCTGGAAGTGGAATGGTTAACTGATGGATTGGACTGTCATTTTATAGGGCCAGGATTGTGCCCTTTCAGTATTTCGAGCTCGAAGGAGTGAGCAAGCTTGTGACCCCAGGATCAGGTTGTATTCCAGCTCGGGGTCGGTTGGTTGGAGGAATTAGCGACATTATTTCAGCACCGGTTAGCGCAGGTGGGTCGATGTGGCATATGTATTTTATGAGGTCCGGTTTTCCTTGGATCTCTTGTATCAGGCAGTAAGGATTGATTGTGCGGCCTATCACACTTTTGGGATTATAGACTATGTCTTGGGAGTAGTTTGTAGCCCGATTTAGGGCAGAGGTTGCTTCAGCTACCGTTGTTCAGCTGTGGACATTTGAGCGGGTGGATGAGTCAGGGTGCGAACCCTGAATGAATTGATTTCTAGAGCCCGAGAGCGGGAAACTTTTTTGGAGCACCTTTGGAAAAGGGGTATTATATGGGAGGTCTACGGATAGGGTTCCACAGGATGGTTATACTGCATTGTTAAGATTCAGTGGTTTTAGCAACCGTTCGTGATTGACGGACGAAAGCACCAGGGGAAGTAGCCAGTTGCCAAGGTATTAGTTGGAGCATCTATCTTTTGGTCTTTAGGACGTGAGTGTGGGGTCATTCAAGCATTAGTGACTGTCGGGTTCTCTGGGATTCAGGAAGTGTTCTTTTGGTTCTTAGAAGTGTGTGATCAATTGGGATTGGCTAGTATGGAGCGCTAGTTAGAAAGAGTTGGTTGTCATCAGATCGATCGTTTGAAAGTGAGAAGGATTGGCAATCCTTCAATTTTCATGTATTATGGAGGCTAGCCAAATCTAAGTGGGGGAGAGTTACCTGGGATGCAGAAGCGGGAAGGGTTTTGAAACGACGATGAGTTTCACAACCCGACAGGGAGCATGGAGGCCCCAGTGGCTGCTTGACTTGGAGAGTTTTTGGATTGATAGATGGAGGGTTTTGTTAGTTGCCAGGTCTCGACAGTGCTTTCAGCACGGGTGTGCGGGTTATTTAGCGTATGTGGTAGACACGCGGGTCAGGGAACAGACCACAGATTTCCGAGAGGGTAGACGATCGACATGAGGCCTAGGGTTAGGCCGGGGTTGGAGTCCACGTAATGGAACACGAGTTCGGAACCCCAAGTGGGTGAGAACAATCTGCATGGGAGATATCACTAGGAGGGGTGGTCTAGGGAGGTGCTCGACAGTTTAGAGTGGTCTGGATAGACTGAAGGCCGGTAGGGCGTACCAGTCAGGCCGAAGGCTCGGAGAGCGGTCCAGATAGACTGAAGGCCTGGTGAGGCGGTCTAGTGATGCTGAAGACTCTGTATATGTTAGTAGATCTATGTACGGGTATTGAGTATGTTGTTATGCTATAGAAATCAGTATGTCTGTCCCCAAGTATTGAACATGCTGATGGAGTATGCTGAAGACCTTGTATGGGTTTTGTTAGTTATATGATCAGGTTCTGTGTGTATATGTGTTATGGGGTAGCAACTTGTTCTGCAAGTGGATAATGTAGGGTGAGGTTTCAGCACTGTGACACATGTTGGTGTTGTGAAGGACATTGATTAGGCCTTATTGGGCAATAGAGGAGGTGAATATCTCCAGGTTGGAGTGCTGGACATCTGAAGTGATGACAGCGTGTCGATAGGTTATCGGGAGCATTCCAGTCATGAGCTGAGGCCCGGAGAGGGCATACCAGACTCATGTTGTG